TTATAAAATAGTTTAGCGTTAGATAGTAAATTCTTATAATTGTATTTTTATATAAATAGGATAGAAACTTGTTCTTGTAAAAGGGCAAAAATAACAGTGTAAACTCAATAGTTCTAGTTTAAGACTTAGAATCCAAGGTTAAGGATTACTAAGGATATAAATCTTTACAATAAAGGAATCTCTTTCTAAACTACACATATTAAAAATCCTTCAACATGTCAATTGTGTTTATTATGTTTACAAATTGTAAAAGTTATTTTCTCATTTAAAAGTATAAACCTAAGGTTGATTGTGATAAGACTTATTACAGTAACTTAGTAGTTTCTCGTACATTACTTTCTGTTATTAAGTTATAGTTACTCTAAGTTCAATAGGTTGAGCAAAGGGTTAATAACGATAACTCTCTTATAGATAAAATATTATTTGCTAATATTTAAAACTCATTGTCCTTATTAATGATTTTTGGTTTCTTAACTTACTTAAAGATATAATATCAACTTCCTTATCTGAAAAAGTCTCAGCCTGTCTATTCTTAATAAATTTATTACATGATCTCTTATCTTCACTTTATCATGATATTTTCACATCTTATCATGAGATTTGGATTAATAAAAATGCTGCTCTTAATAAATAAAATATTGAAACAACATTGAAAATGATTAAATAATTCTCTGGATTTCTTCTGATTTCCTACACTTCTTTTCTCTCCCTTTAATGTCTAATTCTAACTTTTTTTTAGCAGCTTATGCCTATAGTTCTTATTGGTCAAATTTTTGAAATGGCAGTAATCATATCTTTCCTTCTAGACATTTGATAGCTATATAATAGTTTAATTTAGTTTAAGTTTCTTTTTTGTTTATAGTTTAATTCAGTAAAGTGCAAGGTTGGTATTAATAAAGTAATTTAGTTTTAAAAATTAATTTATAGATATTTTTGTATTTTATGTTTTATTATATAGTATATATTTAGTATTATATAAATTTAATATTGATTATGCAAAACTGTTACACTTCAAAAAAAAACTATTTCTTAATTTTGAAATAAAAGCGTATGATTCAATTTTTACATGATTATCAAGATAATCATTTTTGAATTTATTACAACCTTTTGTAAAAATATTACTTACTTTTTCCTCTTCACATTAAATACAATACATATAAGGCTTTCCTTCTTCATCTTCTTTTCTTAACCATAGATATATTTGTGATCATTTTGGATTTCAATCATTTCGTTTTTTTTTGTATTTTTTATTTGGAGTTTTTTTTTAATTTTTTTATGTATAGAAGAGTCTTCAGATGATTCAATATCACTACTTTCTTTATACTTTTCTATTATGTTACTTGTATTTTGAAAATATCCCTTCATTATTAAATATAATTTTTATTATTTGAGTAATTAACAAAAGTTAGAATAAAGAAGTAAATTGAATTTCTTTGTTTCTTTGTCATTTAACATTTTATCTTTAGCTATATTGATATATAATACGCAGAATTAATTACCTATTTAAAGATATTTATAGAGTTAATAGAAATAAAATTGTGTATTTGTACTATTTGTGTAATTTGCATAAATCTTTTGAAAAGTTTGTGCAAAATTTGCACAGAATTTAAAAAATGTTGATTGTGTAATATATAGATCAGAATTGCATGCAATTTGCAGAAATCAAAATAGGATTACGTTCTACAAATTCTGCAAATAGATTTTATTTACTAATACTGATGCTTCTAGAAATGGCTTAGGAGCTATTCTCTCTCAAAAGTACTTGACAATGTAATAGCATACATTAGCAGAAGTATGAATAAAATTAAGCAAAATTATGAAATAACTGATCAGGAATGCCTTGCAGTTGTATGGATACTGTTAATGTAAAACCTTTTCAGATTGCAATTGTTAGACGCAGTATCAGAGGGTTAACTTTTTATAATCTACGTATAATTTTAACTAGTTTTACATTAGGTCTCAGTTATTTTACTACCAGTTTAACAAGCTAAATTAGGTTTACTAAATGCAAGTGACTTTAATTATAAGTCAAGAATTATCATAGTGAAACTGGCAAAAATTAACAGATCTATTGAATATGACATATCTGCTAAATCTGCCAAATAGGACACGAATATCATTTATTATATCTTTATTATTTATATCATTATTATCATATTTAACATAATTAGCATATCTATTAGCTTTGTTATTATTGTCAGTAGTATCATATTTACCATAGATTTTCTTAATTGTAATTTTCCTATATAAAGGACATGAAAATGTCTTAAAAAAAAGACAGATTCCAATGAGATTCAAACAAGTTCTTAACATTGTATTCGATATACATTTAATAACAATAATAAACACATTTAACATTTTGCAATCATAAAAACTTATAATATATTTCTTGTCAACTAAATAAACTCTAATAAATAGCATATTAAGTTGATTGGATTTAAATCATAGCTATTGCCTTCCTGACTTTAAATCATAGTTAACTTATTCGACGGAAAGAGTAATGTTAACAATAGTAATTTACAATAAGTTTTATGTAAGAAATAAGAAATACTTTATTAAAGTAAAAAGATAAAAAGATAATAATAAGATAATAATATATAAAGAAATAAGAAAATAAAATAAGAAATAGAAGTATATAAAGTGAAGAGTAATGTTATGCTATCTTTTACAAAAGAGAGTTTCTATATAGCTGTCAATTTGTCTTTTTTTAACTGATAAAGGACTTATATTTATATCTATTCTATTATATATTTTGATATATCTAATATATTAACTATATTAATTATATTTACTATGTTAACTATATTAAATATATCTGATATATTAGACATATTAACTATATTAAACATGTTAAACATGTTTAATATGTTTGACATTATTGTCATTTATATCCTGTTACATATTTATAGATCTGTGATTATTAGGATTATCCAGTCATATTACTCTTCTTTAAGATTTCTGTTTCAATAGAAATTTTTAAAGTACAGTTAAAAATATCCTGATATTTACTAAACTTAAGTCATCTAATCTAGATCAATGTTAAGAAATAAGTATTCAGAATTGTTTGCTTCTTAAATTTTCAAAAAGTAAATAAACATGAGTTGAATATTGATAGTAGTGTACTATAATTGTTTGATTTTGAAAAGTTTTTTGCGTAAGCATTATATCATTATCATTTAGTAATTTGTTTAAGAGAAACTGTTTATTAAAATCTAAACACAGTTTTTCATATGTCATGCTCTCAAGAGGGCTTGGTAAGTGTATTAACTTTCTCAGTATAAAGCATATTCTTAGTATCAGTATTGGCATATAACCTTTTGTGACTTATATGACTTAGATGACTGGTCATAAGTCATTTGGTCATTCCAAAAGGCATTATGATCTTATGACCTTTATGACCTGTATTTATAAAATTTTATTACTTTATTTTTTTAAATTTTATTATATTCAAATTATACATAGTGAACTTATTCTTAATAAGCATTAGCAACTATATTTTCTGTATCTAAATAGGTTGGTGATTCTAAAGTAGAGGAAAAAAGTAATTCTAATTGCCATTTTGTCGAATTATCATCAGCAGGATGATTGGTCTGTCCACCTAATGTAAAGTCTGTATCCCATTCTGAAGAAAGCAAAGTTACATCATCAGAATTATCAAATTTACTTTCATTTTCTACATTATTAATCCATTCAACTATAATTGAATTCCAATATTCTTCATCTTCTTCTGTTATTGGTTTATTTTCGTTATCATTTTTGTTTACCAAATCTTCTCTTTCTTCATTAGCTGAATTTTCTGTTAAGTTTTCTTCGTCTTGATTATTATTGTCATCATCATCATCACTGTCAGCTGACTTTTCTTCCGGAGTAATTGGCATTGCTATATGAAGCTATTTGACTCTTTTTTCTCTATTTTGTATGTCTTTAATATTACGATTATAAAGAATATCACCTCTAACTTGTGCCATTGCAAGAACTTTTTTAGGCTAAAAAATAATAAATTATAGTTAATAAAAAAATTATAATTAACTTGCTTATCAATAAAAAAATAAAATAAAATAAAAACCTTAAGTCTATTTCTCCGATTTGTATGTAAATAGCCCATACTTGACCACAACCTTTCAACTGATGCTGAATTTATACAAATTCCATGTATTCGAATAGCAACTTTTGCTAATTCAGATCCTATACCATTTGTAAACTCCCAAAAATTAACTAATTGACCTTGAAATTGATTAAATGAATCATCATTATAAGGATCTAAACCTTTTATATATTTCATAAATTCTGCTAAAATAGTTCAGGGCTTTTTTCCAAACCATGCCTCATAATAATATTTTAACCATTGTCCAAGATGCACTATAGATAAGTTAGATACAGATGCACAAAATTTTAAAACTTTGTATAAAGGATGAAACACTATTAAAAGAATTAAAAGTGGTTATTCCCATTGCTTTCAGCGTTTCTCCATTCTTTCAACCATTTTTTTTAAAAAGTTAGAATCAGAATGATTTTGAAAAATTTTTGTTGTGTATGCAAAATAATGGGTTACTTCATATAAACTTGCAGTATCTTTTTGAAGTTTATTTAAAAACCCACATAAAGGATATAATAAATTTTGAAGTTCATAAAGGCTTGTCTAAAAATCATTATCATTAATAATATCTGCAATATCATCAGGTAGTTTTCATTCACCATTATATTTTTTTGAAGACTTATCTGATGTTACATTTGGAATCCCATTTGTTCGAATTATATTTGACCGATGCTCATTGAACTTTGCTGAAATAAACTACAAAATCATATCAAATTTTTATTAATTTATAACAATAATTTTAAAATACAATATTCATAAAATTACCTTAAGAGCAACTTTAGTTTTTAAAATAGAATGAAAACAAAAATAATAGCTATTCTACCTAGTATCTCCAGGTGATAGCAATGATACAGTTTTATTATAAATTCGAGTCTGTTCGTCTCTTAGATTCCCGGTAAAATAAGGAGATTTATGAAAATAACTAACTATTAAAAATATCACCAAATACAAGATTCATTTGGTGTGCCATACACGGAAGAAATACTTTATCTGGATATTCCCTTCTTAATTGCTTACTAAAATTATATTTTTTTTAAAAAAAA